ACCAATCAGAACAGATCACCTGTGAATATTTTACATACGAATAGATAGCAATTATCAGAAACGTAGATAATTTATCATTACATTTTTATTGTAATCGATATGTTGAAATGTCAAGTGAATATTTTTTCTGTATTTTTCATGATCATTCTACATTCACAAACATAGTGATGATTTTCACTTTTACATAATAATAATTGTTTGTTTTTCTATTTGGTATCTAAGACATTCCATGAAGAAATGTTCTTCATTTTCAATTTTTATCTGGGAACAGATTCTGTCGTCTAAAGGTGTTTTGGTTTGCGCATGTCTATCCTTCTTCATTTCTTATATATGACTGCTTATTCTGAAATTAGTCATTATGATTTTATGTTTCAGATTACATAAGAGCAAATATGGTTCAAAAGTGTACGAGTCTTTAAACCTAAATACATTCTCAGTTTTCTATTATCATTTCTTACACTCAATTTCCAGAACTCTACATAACTTTGTCGAATATTACATGTAAGCAGTGGCCCACATTATTTTATTATCACTTGTACGTCAGCTGACTGTGATGTAAGTCATATCCTATCACATACAGATAGTTTGGAAAGTGTTCAATAAAATGTTCAATGTGTTGGGTCGGCGAGCATATTTCTAGATAGCATATTTGATATAAGTCATACAAAAAAAACAACACACAAACAACTACATATAAATGGATAAACGGCAAATAAAATTCATTTCAAGAAAACATTTACATGAACGAAACAGACAAATGCTATTACGGTAATAACGTTCAAGTTTTAAACAAATGGACAACAACACCCACGAGCGCCGCCTGTGGTGACAGAGTGCATGCAGAAAGTTTATTGTAAACATTCAACATGGCGGCCCCCATGGTTTCGCGTGCGGTCAGTCGGTGAGTAACAAAATACGAGATTGTTATTTACTTTCCATGATTTAAGATGGGTTGAAATGACAATATACATATGGTTCTCGAATCACAGAGGTACATATACGATTGAATTCTTATTTTATCGCTGAACGCAATAGTGATAGTTCAGTTGTAAGCCTGCAGGATGGCGCTAACCCAATTTGTCAGTGAAATGCACATGCAAGGACCGACAGATAATGAAAAGAGTTTTCTATGCAGTCGACATGAAATATGAAGTACACAGTTTATTGAAATTTATGTTAATTTTTGTTGGGAAAAAACTTGATAATATATGTTAATGAGGTTGGCATGGAAACAAGAGAAAATGGCTAAGGATTGGGGGTTAATGTAATTCTACTTGAGGGGGGGGGGTTGTCTTGTAGTGTATTCTCAAAAACGGAGTACGTCACGACCCCTCAAACATTACCAGGACCAATCACAAACAAGAATAGACAATTTCATCTTTGAGAATAAGTTGGGAATTTTGTAAGTTTGGTTCCCAACTGTGTGAGGGCGCTGTAACATTAGTAAACTTATTAGGGCCCTGTAAAAGTTCAGAAACTAGTAAATTGGAAATGTGTCCAAACATTGTTAGGGCTATGTATAAGTTAGAAATTTAGTA